TGTTCGAAATGAGAAACATCAAATAATATTACAACATAATATGTTTACACTAACTCAGAAAGTCAAATGATACAGAATGTCATTGAACAAAAGATCTGGGTATATACTGAATTTAAACTAAGAAATTGAAATATTTTGCAACTAATCTTCCTTTAATAAAGACTGGCAAGCTTGAAAGATACAGAATCTTCCCTAACACACATCTTTGATGTCTGCTCATCTTTGCATCATAGAAGGAGCTCAAAGGGTTAATTAAAATTTAATGATTTCACCAGTACTTTGAAAAAGTTATGAACTTAGACGAGATCAATCACATTTCTTGGACTGCCTAACTTCAAAGCAGACATTATGCAAAAAAAAAAGAGAGAGAGAAAAAGAAAAACCTCTTCCATTCTGCGCTGAATACATAAGTAAATATTTCCTCATTAGTTCTTTGAACCAAGCTTTAACACTCACACTTGAGGAAGTATTATTCCAAAGTATTTAAAAGCCGTTTAACATGGCAAGCATGTTGATAGTGAAATTATGATCCCTTTGTTTAGCAATTTGAAAACCTCAATTGATTGTCTTTTAAAGTTAATTATTCCACGAATGTAGTTTTTTTTTTCTTTTTTAATATGAGTGATGTTTTAGTTTGCAGTTGCTAAAAATACTTATTTAATAGTAAACAATAAACTTATAAACAGAAATTAAAACTCAGATTATTCTGTTCTAAAGTGGTTCCTCATTTATTTCCATTAAAACTCAGTGTTTCAAGACACGTGACAAAAAGTTGCATTGTTATCATACTTTAAACAGAAGCCTCAGACATACTGGCCACCATGTCTGGATTCACATAGGGACAACTGGGGCTGTTGATCCAGGTAAGCCACCCTAACATCATTAGTAATAATACAACAGAAGCATGCATCCTCACACACAAATACTATTTATATTAAATGGAACATCTATTTAAGAAGTTGATGCTTAGTGAATATAGAGATCATCCAAAAGGTCTACATTATGTGAAAAACAATATATAATGTGTAGTTTAGTATGCCACTGGTAAAATAATGGTGAAACATACTCCTAATCACCAGCAAAATGCATGGTTCTGATCCATCATAGTAGCTCTATAAATGTAGCTTTAAAATGAGCAAACAATTAAAGATTGTTAAATGTGCCCACAGGACATAACATTAGCAATACAATACAAACAATTATTAAAAATAATTAGCATCTTACATATTAGTAAAATACAGGTGTGATTACATCCTTGTTTGAGTTTGGTGTTCTGAAGGGGATGTTCCCGCTTGGTAACTTTGGACTTCCCGATTTGCAGATCCTATCACTTAGTGTTATAATAATATTCAATTTTTATTAAGCATGATTGATTGATCACTATTGAGCAAATTAAACTATTGTAGATAGCTAAGATGGCTAAGATGTCAAACTGTGTCACACTAAGAAATTCAACTAAGAAAAACAAGATGACACAGCATAAATGTTCTATAACATGTCTGGCCAATATCCAAAGTGGGATTTGGTGCCAGCAAAGTTTAGAAAAATAAGAGTATAGGGACATAGTTTTATAGAAAAAGGTACCTCTTGTGTCTGGCATGGTTCTTGGGTGGTCATGACTGGCCTGTTCAACCATAAAGATTACTTAATGCGCATGACATAAATGCTGGGCTGCACTGATAAGAAAACTTATAAAAGACGGAGAAACTTGGCAGTTCAAGATACTCATCCCGAACTTGGTTATGTGTCTGTCAATATCGTTTTAAACCTTATTGATTATTACTTTTTTTAATATTGGTGTTCATGAATTTGATGATTAGGCACAACACAGCCCACGCATAACCTGGCCTTCAGATTAGCTTATTCAATAGCTAAACAGGTTGAGCCTTTATAAGATTGTGGTGAGGGGGAGGATACTTTTTACTCTTGACCAAGACTAGGGGTCAAAACGCATTGTGTGTGGTGATATCACCACTGTGTAGGGGATGATACAAGTCTGTTAGTTGGTTGTTGCCAAACAGGAATTTTCTTTTCAGTACACCAAACCAAACCACAGAGTAACTGATTAACATTTCTAATTCACCTTCTGCCTACCAAACCTGTTAGATCAATTTTACCAACGTGAATTTTTAGTTATAGTATAAACCATCATATGCATCTCTGTGACCTGGTAAATACAAATGCAACATTTCAAGAGCTTTCTTCTCATTAGGATTAAGCACAACAACATTCTCAATAAATTATACTTGATACAGTAAATTAATATAAGTATTTTGTCCTATTAAGGAGACATTACAAACCTTTTACAGGTCTATATTCTGTTATCCCAATTCCACACTGTCAATCATCATCAATCAGATACAAAAGGAAAGTCCACTCCTGCCATCTTCTTAAGCTGCAATACATATATCAATTCACCTAGAGACTTTGAGTCATCCTTGTTTTTTGCTAATGTCTCAGCTCATTGGGAATAATCCAGTTGCCATTGATGTTCAGACTATACAGGCTTATATCCACACTAAAACTTTGGCAAACATGATTAAATATTTAATTTAAGTGGTCTCCATTTTATTTCTGATACCGTAGAATGCACTTGAACAAATTCATTATATATGGTGATAAGATTTAACATATCTTAATGGTTGCGTAAGACTCTAATAAAAAAATCATATGACTTATTTGAGACATAGAAATAATACCTAGTTCACAAACCCAACACAAATCACTTTTTGTGTAGATTGTTTTTCAGGAATACCAAAAACAATGATATTTGCATAATATTTTTAAATGTATGTTAATCACTCATTCATCCTTTTTTGAAAATATTGAATGGGCATAAAGTATTGAAGCACATAACCCAATATTTCAGTATTTTGTAATTTTTTCGTATACATACGTAAGGTTAGACACATAAAATAAAAATAGTCTATCTGAAACATGCAGTTTTATCTGAAATTAGACCGTTTGAATATATGATATATAGATAGACTGTGTTTATTGTTCTTGCTTTATATTACGGAGCTCTAGGTTTCCAAAAAAAAAAAAAAAAAAAGGTTCCTATATAACTACGTACCGTTTGAACCCCATTTTCATAGACTCAAACCATTTTTGTTAAAATTATGTGATTTATGTGAGCTTCTCTTGTGAGCTATTTTACCCATTTTCTATCTCGTTTGAGTGTGAACTAGGCAATGGTACTGACTTTGCCTTATGTTAGAAATATCCCTTGATTGCAACAACATCAATAAAGCCATTTTGATGGATCTTGGAATCAATAAAGCCTACACAATAATATTCATGTAATGGGTACTAATATTTTCAAGCAATACATTCTCACATAGGTGGAGGACATTTTACACATCTCTTTGCACTCTACAGACTGCTACTAACATTAAACCAGCAACGTGTGTCTTCTTTATACACTAATGAGTAAATCTCCAACTGGGTGGGGAGTTTTTCCTTGTTCCTATTTTTTTGTTCATGTTAAATCTTTGAGGGTTTTATGATTGGACATTTCTAGTGGTGTCCCACCAGCATAAGATTCCAATATTGTTGAAGGAGTTAGGGAGTGTCTAAGTGACAGACAACATAGGGTTGTAGTCAATGGAGTATATTCAAAGCAAGGTCTTGTTACCTGTGGGGTGTCTCAGGGATCTGTATTTGGACCCATTATCTTCCATATATTAGTGATATTGCATGAGGTCTTGATGGTAAGGTATGTCTTTTTGCTGATGATACACAGATTTGCAGCAGGAATAAGCCAAATGGCAAGTGATTTGGGTAAAATAGAAAAAGGGTCAGAGCTGTGGCAACTAACATTTAATGTGGATAAGTGCAAGATAATGCATCTTGGGAGTGAAAATCCAAGGGCAGAGTATAGAATATGTAATAAAGTTCTAACCTCAAAATCAGAGGAAAGGGAATTATTTCAGATGACGTAAAGGACCACTATAGAATAAAAGAATGGGTTAAGCCTAGCTGGACCTGGCACCCAGACCACTTCATTAAGCTGAAGTGGTCTGGGTGCCTAGAGTGGTCCTTTAAGAATTGTTGACTTGCATAAAGTTGGAAAGGGTTATAAAAGTATCTCCAAAAGCCTTGCTGTTCATCAGTTCACGGTAAGACAAACTGTCTATAAATGGAGAAAGTTCAGCACTGCTTCTACTCTCCCTAGGAGTGGCCGTCCAGTAAAGATGACTGCAAGAGCACAGCGCAGACTGCTCAATGAGGTGAAGAAGAATCCGAGAGTGTCAGCTAAAGACTTACAAAAGTTACTGGCAAATGCTAACATCCCTGTTAGCGAATCTACAATACGTAAAACACTAAACAAGAATGGATTTCATGGGAGGATACCACAGAAGAAGCCACTGCTGTCCAAACAAAAGATTGCTGCACGTTTACAGTTTGCACAAGAGCACTTGGATGTTCCACAACAGTACTGGCAAAATATTCTGTGGACAGATGAAACCAAAGTTGAGTTGTTTGGAAGAAACACACAACACTATGTGTGGCGAAAAAAAAGGCACACCACACCAACATCAAAACCTCATCCCAACTGTGAAGTATGGTGGTGGGGCCATCATGGTTTGGGGCTGCTTTGCTGCATCAGGGCCTGGACGGATTGCTATCATCGAAGGAAAAATGAATTCCCAAGTTTATCAAGACATTTTGCAGGAGAACTTAAGGCCATCTGTCTACCAGCTGAAGCTCAACAGAAGATGGGTGTTGCAACAGAACAATGACCCAAAGCATAGAAGTAAATCAACAACAGAATGGCTTAAACAGAAGAAAATACGCCTTCTGAAGTGGCCCAATCAGAATCCTGACCTCAACCCGATTGAGATGCTGTGGCATGACCTCAAAAAAGCGATTCACACCAGACATCCCAAGAATATTGCTGAACTGAAACAGTTCTGTAAAGAGGAATTGTCAAGAATTACTCCTGACCGTTGTGCACGTCTGATCTGCAACTACAGGAAACCCTTGGATGTGAACCCTTGGATTTAATAACTGGTTGAACCTCCTTTGGCAGCAATAACTTCAACCAAACGGTTGAAGTTATTGCTGCCAAAGGAGGTTCAACCAGTTATTAAATCCAAGAGTTCACATACTTTTTCCACCTGCACTGTGAATGTTTACATGGTGTGTTCAATAAAAACATGGCAACATTTCATTCTTTGTGTGTTATTAGTTTAAGCAGACTGTGATTGTCTATTGTTGTGACTTAGATGATGATCAGATCACATTTGATGACCAATTTGGGCAGAAATCCATATCATTCCAAAGGGTTCACATACTTTTTCTTGCAACTGTATATATATATATATATATATATATATATATATATATATTTTTTTATTAGGGGAGTATATGGACATTGAAGTATATGTAATAGGATTAATATTGCAAACAAAAATTAAATACTGACCCTTAAGATCAGAAATTCCTTTTTTGCAATGTAAATGACAAATCCTTATGCACTATTATTGTACCTTTCAGTGAGCAGTAGAATGTAACAAAATTGTATATGAAAAGACCACCCATTTCAGCATGATGTGTGGGGCAAAATATATTTCTTTTGCAAAAAAGGAACTGGGATTTTTGTTTTAAATATTCCTATGTCAGTCTCTGTTTGTAGGGAGTGTTCAAACCTTTTAAATGTAATGTAAATTGTTTAAGACCTATATTGCAATAACAATAAAAAATAATATGGTCATAATGAATCAAAGATTTAGTTTCAATAACCTGTTCTGTAAAACCTACATCTACAGGGTAACGCTGAAGAAGCCACGCACAGAGAGTCCGGACACAGGTCAGTTCAGGAAGTAAAGGTCTTTATTCTCACTGATCGGGTCTCAGCTGAACTCCTGTTCAAAATGTCTGAGCCCTGAGCACATGGTGTAGAGGCTTTTTTATAAGCTAAACATCCCCCATCTGTACCCTTACACCAATCAACAAACAGGATCACCTTATATGGACAGGCAACACGGCCCTTTTAGGACAATGGAATGTGGTTTCAGTTCTTGCACATGCTCAGTACATTGATGACAGTATCTTAGCTACATGTAACTAACTAACAGGTACAACAGATACAGGTACTTGTATATACCACATGGAGATTTTAGGCCTACTAAAGTTTGGGCCTAGCTGAAATCACATCACACTATGACAATTGTACCAGAGGATAAACAGAGCTTTGGTACATATGATCATGGGCGTAGGAACCCCCACAAATCTGGGGGGGATAGCATTCTTACTCAACAATAAAAAATAATATGGTCATAATGAATCAAAGATTTAGTTTCAATAACCTGTTCTGTAAAACCTACATCTACAGGGTAACGCTGAAGAAGCCACGCACAGAGAGTCCGGACACAGGTCAGTTCAGGAAGTAAAGGTCTTTATTCTCACTGATCGGGTCTCAGCTGAACTCCTGTTCAAAATGTCTGAGCCCTGAGCACATGGTGTAGAGGCTTTTTTATAAGCTAAACATCCCCCATCTGTACCCTTACACCAATCAACAAACAGGATCACCTTATATGGACAGGCAACACGGCCCTTTTAGGACAATGGAATGTGGTTTCAGTTCTTGCACATGCTCAGTACATTGATGACAGTATCTTAGCTACATGTAACTAACTAACAGGTACAACAGATACAGGTACTTGTATATACCACATGGAGATTTTAGGCCTACTAAAGTTTGGGCCTAGCTGAAATCACATCACACTATGACAATTGTACCAGAGGATAAACAGAGCTTTGGTACATATGATCATGGGCGTAGGAACCCCCACAAATCTGGGGGGGGATAGCATTCTTACTCGCCGGGTATAATCTTATTCCATAAACTGGGAGGTTTTTATCCCATTGTACAGAGCTACGGAATTTGATGGTGCTATGTAAATAATAAAATAATAATAATGTTAAATTTTAAGTGTGTGTGTGAAATAATATAATGTGAAGCATATCAGTGTACCGCATAGCTCCACAGCAATACAACTGACAGTAATGTGTGAGGTGCAAGTACATCACAGAACAGCTCAGCAATAAAATGAATGGGAAAGTGCAGTGTGTGAGTGTATCACAAGCTCTACAGCAAAATAACTTACAGGAACGTGCAGTTTGTCAGCGTATTACAGATCACCTCATCAATACAATGCACAGGAATGTACAGTGTTTGAATATATATCAGCCATCCCAATGTGTGGCAAAACACTGCGCTGCACCTATCAGCATCTCCTCACAGAGATGCGTTGAATCAATGCATTTCTATGAGGAGTGTTCAGCGTGAATGCTAGTGCTGAACGTTGTGCAACACTGGACTGGGGAGCACCTCTAATGGCCACCTGATAAGGTATTCCTCGGCAGTAATGTAAATACTGCCTTTTTCTGAAAAGGCAGTGCGCTTACATTAAAAAGCCTGCAGAGAAATGCTATAAACACCAAAACTACTACGTTTAGCCGTTGTGGTTCTGTTGACTAAAGTGTCACTTGAATATAGAGGGGAGTAAAAAGAATCATCACAAATGTATGCAGTAAAAATGTCTATCATTTTCTAAAAATTTTTTTTTTTGTAAACAATGTGCAGATAGTACTATATTAACGCTATCCCTGGCTGGATGGGAGCATTCCATGTGCTCAGCATGGTATCCCTGGTTAGATGTGAGCATTCCACACCTGGTTAGATGTGAGCATTCCATATGCTCAGTATAATATCCCTGGCCAGATGTGAGCATTCCATGTACTCAATATGGTATCCCTGGCTAGATGTGATCATTCCATGTGCTCAGTATGATATCCCTGGTTAACCACTCTATCCACCCGTCCCTAATCGTCTCCTCTCCAACCACCTAGCCGCCTAACCCCCATAAAAGTACTTACAGTACTGAAGACACCAGCAGTGCTCTGGGCTCAGGGTTCAGGGCTGAAAGCATGAGGCCCTGCTCTGTAGTTGTAGGAGGCCGGGGCTCACCATAGCGTTGCCGTGACTCCACGTGACATCATGGAAGGGGCGTACGCAGAGGGCAAGGGAGGTCGGGAGGAGGAGCAAACAAAGGCCTTAAATATGCGGCGATGCCGAATAGTGGAGGATTGAATCAGATCAGGATTTGAGAGGGAACATTTTTAGCATATTATTGTGGGCAGCGGCCCCTTTTGCCACGTGTTAATGGCTGCCCTGACTTAGGGTGACCACATTTCCTAACTGCCATTTAGGGACACTTACTACCCCCTCTACCCCTTCCATTCATATTACTACCCTATCCCTTCCGTTCAGATTACTACACCCCATACCCCTTCCTTTCATATTACTACGCCCCAATACCCCTTCTGTCCATATTACTACCACCCATACCCCTACCGTTCATGTTACTGCCCCCCAAACCCCTTCCGTTCATATTACTAACCCCCATACCCCTTCCGTTCATATTACTACCCCCATACCTTTCATTCATATACTACCCACCATAACCCTTCCTTTCATATTACTACCCATACCCCTTTTGTTCATATTACTACCCCCATACCCTTCCATTTATATTACACCCCCTATACCTTCCATTCATTACTACCCCCTATACCCCTTCCTTTCATATTACTACCCCCATGCCCCTTCCATTCATATTACTACCCCCATACCCCTCCATTCATATTACTACCCCCAAACCTTACGCTCATATTACTACCCCCATACCCCTTCCGTCATATTACTACCCCCTATACCCTTCCGTTCATATTACTACCCCCTCCTATTCATATTACTACCCCCCACAGCCCCACCCCCTCTAGTCATATTAGTAGCCCCCTTACCCCCTCATTCATATTAGTACCCCTCCATTCATATTAATACCCCCTCTTACACCTCCATTCATATTTGTACCTCCTAACCCTCCATTCATATTTGTACCCCCTCCACCCCACTCATTCATATTTGAAACTCCTACCCCCCCCTCCATTCATATTAGTACCCCCCTTCTACCCCTATTAGTACCCTTCCACCCCTCCATTCCTGTTAGTAGCCCCTAACCCCTTCCATTCATTTTTCTACCCACCCCCCTCCCCAAATTATATCTCCCCTCTAACCCTTCCATACTAAATACCTGGCAGTGGCAGGACAGGCAGCTGCTTTTTTTTTTCAGAGCCGGCGTCGGAGCTTATAATGACGCCAGCTCCACTCTCCCCCTTGCACACCGTTGTCCCCCTCCCTGCCGTTTTACCGCACAGAGCAGGGGAGGGGGACCTCTTCAAGCGGTGCAAGGTGTCAGACTGAGCGCCAGGTAGTCACGTGACACCCGGCGCTCCTATGCAAAGTGGGAGGGGGAGGCGCTCCTCCTCCCAGTGTACACTGCGTGCGGTTCCATTATGGAGCCGCATGCAGCCTGTCAGGGGGACGGCAAACATCACTTGTCAGTCTGACAAGTGATTTTTGCGCTTCCCTTCGGCCGGCGGACCTGGGGGGGATTTCTGCATTATCTGTCCCCCCCGGATGATTTCCTGGGTGGGATGCGTCCCCTCCATCCCCCCCCGGTTCCTACGCCCCTGCATATGACCATTTTTGAGGAATGCTGTCAAAAATGTGGGCTTTAGAAACCAAAGCATGATGGTGCAAAAATAATTTAGCAAAAAACAGAAAAGGAAATTTAGAACTGCAAACTCAATACAAACAACTTTAACATCTTGGCTGCAACATATGAAAGGTGCAAACAAAATATTTGCCCATGTTTCTTCCAATGAAAGAAAAGGGCCCAGACCAAAACAGATTTTTTTTTTGATTTTTTTTAGGAAAAAGGCCTGAATTTGACATTAGGCAAATAGATGGGAATTCATTCAGAGACTCAATTTTTGTTATGGAGATAGAGTAGTAATACTATTAAATCCTTTAATAAGCAATTAACTGTGCAATCCTAGCTGCAGTTTAATTCTTTAAATAAATCTATAAGTTTAATATATGTGTAAGATGGTGGGTAATTACAACATTAGGAGTATGCCCAAGATCTTCTATAAGGTTTAACCCCTTAAGGACAGCAGGCATAGTATGCCATCCTTTTTTGGGCAGTCCTAAATGCTGGAGGGGAGCATAGAACGTCCTCGCCGT